GGCTACTATGCTCACACCCATTCATCAACGCGAGGCCTAGCATGCGGCAAGTTATGCAATACCTAGATGGGGAAATTGAACCTCCAGAGTTAAGGTCCGAGTCGCTAGCCTTAATGCAAAATGATGGGTTCGAGCCATACACCATTTCCTATCCTTCGTCAACTACAAGCATTGGCACAGTGTCCCACGTCTCAGGAGGAAGATGAGTATATATATTAAGTGTGATGAGTACATATATATACCTTAAGGATGTTTTAGTTTGTCTGTACAAACATCATTGCTCGTTTGGTTCTATCTGCATCTAGATATGTTGTGTATTTGTTACCGCTGGTTATTTTACTGGAGCATCTTGTTGTATGAGATCCACCTCTTGAATAATCGATATCACTAGTGCCAAAAGTCACTAAATTTACCTAAATAAGGTCTTCTGCCAATAAATGCTCACAGCATTCAAATGGAGTATGCTTCTTTTGGTATAACAATTCATATGTGCCATCCAGGAGAATCTTAAAGCCAGATGGATAAAATATGACAAGACAAACCAAGCTAGATACAACTTGTTCATTCCCCCATAAATCCACATATATTCTATCTTTCAAGAATGTTTAGCGCTTTGGACAGGCAATTTTGGTGGGCAATGTATGAAACACCAAGTATATTAGTACCAATCTTCAAGAACAAGGGGGATGTTCAGAGTTGTAATAATTACCGTGGAATTAAGCTGATGAGCCATACAATGAAGCTATGGGAGAGAGTCATTGAGCACCGCTTAAGAAGAATGACAAGCGTGACCAAAAATCAGTTTGGTTTCATGCCTGGGAGGTCGACCATGGAAGCCATTTTCTTGGTACGACAACTTATGGAGAGATATAGGGAGCATAAGAAGGACTTGCATATGGTGTTCATTGACTTGGAGAAGGCCTATGATAAGATACCGCGGAATGTCATGTGGTGGGCCTTGGAGAAACACAAAGTCCCAGCAAAGTACATTACCCTCATCAAGGACATGTACAATAATGTTGTGACAAGTGTTCGAACAAGTGATGTCGACACCGATGACTTCCCGATTAAGATAGGACTGCATCAGGGGTCAACTTTGAGCCCTTATCTTTTTGCATTGGTGATGGATGAGGTCACAAGGGGTATACAAGGAGATATCCCATGGTGTATGCTCTTTGCGGATGATGTGGTGCTAGTTGACGATAGTCGGAAGGGGGTAAATAGGAAGTTAGAGTTATGGAGACAAACCTTGGAATCGAAAGGGTTTAGGCTTAGTAGAACTAAAACCGAGTACATGATGTGCGGTTTCAGTACTACTAGCTGTGAGGAGGAGGAGGTTAGCCTTGATGGCCAGGTGGTACCTCGGAAGGACACCTTTCGGTATTTGGGGTCAATGTTGCAGGAGGATGGGGGTATTGATGAAGATGTGAACCATCGAATCAAAGCCGGATGGATGAAGTGGCGCCAAGCTTCTGGCATTCTCTGTGACAAGAGAGTGCCACAAAAGCTAAAAGGCAAGTTCTACAGGACGGCAGTTCGACCCGCAATGTTGTATGGCGCGGAGTGTTGGCCGACTAAAAGGCGACATGTTCAACAGTTAGGTGTGGCGGAGATGCGTATGTTGAGATAGATGTGTGGCCACACGAGGAAGGCGACTAAAAGGATCGAGTCCGGAATGATGATATACGAGATAGAGTTGGGGTAGCACCAATTGAGGAGAAGCTTGTCCAACATCGTTTGAGATGGTTTGGGCATATTCAGCGCAGGCCTCCAGAAGCTCCAGTGCATAGCGGACGGCTAAAGCGTGCGGAGAATGTCAAGAGAGGGCGGGGTCGACCGATTTTGACATGGGAGGAGTCCGTTAAGAGAGACCTGAAGGATTGGAGTATCGACAAAGAGCTAGCTATGGACAGGGGTGCGTGGAAGCTTGCTATCCATGTGCCAGAGCCATGAGTTGGTTGCGAGATCTTATGGGTTTCACCTCTAGCCTACCCCAACTTGTTTGGGACTAAAGGCTTTGTTGTTGTTGTTGTTGTTGTTGTAATGTATGAAACACCAAGGGTTTATGTTACCAATGTATGCATACTTATGATTATTTGCAATTTGGTCATAAATAAAGTAGTACAAGAATATCTCATTGTTCTTTAAAAAAAGTACTCTCTCTGATCCAAAATAAGTGGATCGGAGGTAGTATATCAATTCACTACATATATGTAAGAAAAATTTATGTTAATCAAATTACAACACCAGCTATTTAGAACGTAAAATTTTTACTGAAAACAATTCAGGTCTTGCAAGCATTGGGAAGAAAAACATCACCTAATTGGGTTCTAAGTTGTTCAAGTAATGCATGTATGGTAAGCATGTTTGAAATACTAGACGTGTAATACCGCTCCGCTAGTTGACAGTTATTGACTTGAGGGATTAAAATTAAAAAGTATCACTTGATGACCGATTCAGACTGCAAGATATAGACTCAAAGGTCAGCATCAGAGTTATGTCACGAAAAGCAACTTCTATGGCAACAAGAACCAAAGTCTAAAGCACAAGACGTTGAATGTTTCTTTTTCCCTTTTCTCGTAAGCTGCAATGTTATTTTGAAGATAATGTTTCTCCAAGGGTGACCCCCTGTAAACCAGAGAAACCGGTAGGCTTCAAAGGTTCCTCATGCATGAAGCTACAAAGGTTGTCCACAGAATACAATCAAGACTACTAAAATTCAATCATAATAAAATATTAGTATCTCTTAGGTGGGTAAAAAATACCACTAGACCACATGTCTATCCAAGTTCCCCCCATCCCAGGCAACATCCGCAAGTGACAGTCAGACAACAAAACTTTGGACAAACAGTCCATATTATAGGTACGCAACAAAGCTGTACGCGTTGCAAGAAGCTTCATTTTCAGTTATTTCCCGTCTTTAAATGCATCTTTTCAACTTTCCTCCGTATTTAGATGCAATAGCATTCAGGTAGCTGATATTTATTGATTTGAGGAATTAAAATTGAAAAATATCACTTGATGACCGATTCAGACTACAATATAAATAGACTCAAACTTCAACATCGGAGCCCTGTCATGGAAAGCAACTTCATTGGCAACAAGACTCAAAGTCTAAAGCACAAGGCGTTGAATGTTCCATTTTCCTTTCTTTGTAAAATGAGATATTTCTTTTTAAGGTGTCGTTTCTGCAAGGGTGGCCTATAAGGCTATAAACTAGAGAAATTGGTAGGCTTCAAAGGTTCTAGATACATGAGGCTACAAAGCTTTTCCACAGAATGAAATTAAGATTACTACGATTCAATCAAAGAAAATATCAGTATCTCTTAGGTGGGTAAAAAAATACTACTAGACCATTTTCCCGGGTACTCCGATTCAAATACCCATGGATTTTTTGTTTCTTTACTGGCTTCATATAATTCTGAAAACACAAGTTTTCTTGAAGCCTCTTGCTCATATCACTCATCGAAGGGTATTATTCTATAATGTTTCTTTAGCAGATCCCCCGCTAATAATCTGAGTGAGCTTTCAAATATTTGTGTCTATCCATCATTTTTCAAACAACATCCATCGTCTATCTTTTATTAATAAAACTATATACATGCATGTGGGTTAAATAGATAAATACTCCCTCAAGCCTTATGGCTGATGTAGGTCTCTCCTTTTTTTAACAGGGGCTTCCAACCCAGCGTTAACAAAGGCTAGACAGACACCCGGCACCGATTACAGGCAACGATACTGAACTACGGCTAAGTGTGTTTCCTTTAGATACTTTCCTCAAGAAACAGACCATATTCTCAAGTCCATTCTACTGAATGTACATCTCAGTCAGAGAAAGAATAATGTCTAGAGAAATTGTGCTATGACCATACGATACGCATCAAAACATTGAATGTTGCATGAAGCTTTTTTCAGTTATTGTCCATCTTTAATGAATCTGTTTACTTATGCCCATTTCACATGACAAAAGAAAGAAGACTATAGAGGTCCATGCATATGCTCTGCCTTGCTGCAACGGAACACGCAGATTAGACCTTTTCTGCAAGTAGGACTTTTTTGTTTAAGTACGATAACAGCTTCTGGCCTTGCTACATTCAAGTTCCCCCCATCCTACGCAATATCCGCAAGTGACAGTCAGACAGCAACACTTTGGACAAACAATGCATATACACATTGTACGAAGCTTCATTTTCAGTTATTTTTCCATCTTTAAATGCATTTTTTCAATACCATTCAGGTTGTTGATATTTATTGACTTGAGGGATTAAATTTGAAAAGTATCACTTGATGACCGATTCAGAATGCAAGATAAATAGACTCAAACTTCAACATCAGAGTCATGTCATGGAAAGCAACTTCATTGGCAACAAGAATCAAAGTCTAAAGCACAACACGTTGAATGTTTCTTTTCCCTTCTTTTTTTTGTTTTGTAAACTGAGATATTTCTTTTGAACATGATGTTTCTGCAAGGGTGGCCTGTAAGGCTAGAAACCAGAGAAACTGGTAGGCTTCAAAGGTTCCCTATACATGAGGCTATAAAGGTTTTCTACAGAATGCAATTAAGATTACTACAATTCGATCATAGGAAAATATAAGTATCTCTTAGGTGGTACAAATACTACTATAGCATCTTCCAAGCTACGCCAGGAAATTAATCTGAACCACTCGAAACTTTCTTTACGACATGCTATTTTAACTTTATGCCAGGAAATTAATCTGAATTACTCGACATGGACATGCTATAGTAACTAAATGGGACTAAGAATATTTGTTAGGGTGCTCCTTATAATCAATTTGAAGATGTTATCGACAAACCTGAAGAAATATCACTGTCCCCATCAACTATTAAAATTGTAGACAATGATAGATGTTGAAAAACCAGAGTAGACTTGGTATGGATGCTGCAAGGTAATTACAATATAAAGTTATAAACCACTGCACCACAAAGTGCAGCCTGAAACAATATATTGTTGATTGCCCACAAAACACTTACCTCTCGCATGCCGCTTATTCAGTTGCAGCTTGCAAGTCCTACAATGAAGCATACATCCTTCCTTCAACAATTTGTCTTCCTGTTTGGTCTTATCGTCACAACCTTGGTCTCTGGTGATGATCAATTTCTCTTCTCCGGCTTCAGCCAACCCAGCCTAACCCTGGACGGATGTGCCATGGTCACAGATGGTGGCCTTCTTGATCTGTCCAATGGCACGACTGTTCTCAAGGGCCATGCCTTCTATCCCACTCCTCTGCACTTCCGCAAGTCACCCGGTGGTAAAGTTCAATCCTTCGCAGTCCATGTAGTCTTCAGCATCTTCATCTCTTACGCAGACTTGAGCGCTGATGGCATGGCTTTCTTCATTGCACCCACAAAGAATTTCTCTGATGCACGGGCAGCAAAGTACTTTGCCCTCCTCAACGAGAAGAACAATGGCGACACAAGCAATCACATCTTCATGATCGAACTTGACACCTACAGAAATTCTGAGCTCCAAGACATTGATGAAAATCACATTGGTATCAATATCAACAGTGCAGTCTCCATGCAATCCAGTGCATCTGGCTTCTACGAAGACAAGGGTGGTGCCTTCAAGAACATGACGCTGAATGGCAACCAGGCTATGCAGCTCTGGGTAGACTACAATGAGGGTGATACGCAGATCAATGTGACCTTGGCTCCGATCAACGTGGGAAAACCATCAAGGCCACTGCTCTCTGCAACCTATGATCTCACAACTGTACTCTTGGACTCAGCTCAGTACATTGGATTCTCATCCATGGCTACTCCCATCAACACCCGTCAGTACGTGATGGGTTGGAGCTTTGGCATGAATAAACCAGCTCTATCCATTGACATCTCCAAGCTTCCGAAGTTGCCTCGTGTTGGTCCCAAGGCCCAATCCAAGCTCTTGGTGATCGTCCTACCAATAGCCACTGCAACATTGATCCTCTCTATGGGCACTCTTGTCACTCTAGTTGTGCGAAGGCGACTGAAGTATGCTGAGGTGCGTGAGGATTGGGAGGGAGAATTCGGTCTGCATCGGTTCTCCTACAAGGATCTGTTCCATGCTACGAGAGGGTTCAAGAACAAACACCTACTTGGAGAAGGAGGTTTCGGGAAAGTATATAAAGGAGTGCTTCCATCGTGTAATGTGGAGATTGCTGTGAAGAGGATGTCTCATGAGTCAAGACAGGGCATGAAAGAATTTGTCACCGAGGTTGTTAGCATTGGTCGACTCCGACATCGCAACGTTGTGCAATTACTTGGCTATTGTCGGAGAAAAGGTGAACTGTTTTTGGTTTATACTTACATGCCAAATGGTAGCCTTGATAAATATCTACATTGTGAAGAGCAGAATGCCATTTTGAATTGGGTTCAAAGGTTTCGAGTTATCAAAGGCATTGCTACCGGCTTACTCTATCTCCATGAGAAGTGGGAGAAAATTGTAATCCATAGAGACATCAAAGCAAGCAATATACTGCTGGATGGTGAAATGAATGCGCGACTTGGTGACTTTGGCCTTGCAAGGTTATATGATCATGGCACTGACCCACAGACCACACATATGGTTGGTACCAAGGGGTACCTAGCCCCCGAGCTACTGCGGACAGGGAAGGCATCCCCTCATACAGATGTTTTTGCCTTCGGCATGTTCCTTCTCGAGGTTGCTTGCGGTCAAAAACCTGTCAAGAGAAATGCAGAGGGAAATGAAGTTTTCTTGGTAGAATGGGTACTCGAGCATTGGAACAATGGGTTGCTTATTGAGACAGTGGATGCTATCCTCCAGGGTGATTACAACATTGATGAGGCATACCTCGTGTTAAAGCTGGGACTTTTGTGCTTGCACCCATTTCCTAGTTCGAGGCCCAGGATGCGGCAAGTTATGCAATACCTCGACGGTGAGATGCCACTGCCCGAGCTGAGGAAGACGGAGCTGAGCGTGAACATGGCGGCCTTGGTGAAAAGCAATGGACCGAACTCGGTCACCTTGTCATACCCGCAGATCACATCGAGCTTCTGCACGATATCTGGCCTCTCAGGAGGAAGATGATATCCACGGTGCTTCGCCGCTGATTAGTTATGCTGTTTAGTGGAGTAGTATAAGCACATGTATCAATGCAGTAGTATGTCCTAGAAATAAACGTACGCAGAGTATCAGTTACATGTCTAAAGTCTGTACTACAACATTTTCATTCAGATGCTCATAAGGTTGTATCTTGTATGTAACTATGTATTCGATGGTTTTATGTAGTACTTAAGTATTTTGAACCCTTCTGTGCAGCATGTTTCGGGGAATCCGGAACATCTGCCTTTGTTTCATGTGTGTGAGTTTTGTACAGATTTGTGGCAGCTTTGCTGTTCAAATTGTACTGCAGGGATTTCAGATATGCATGTGCACTCACAGTTTCAGAGATGTTTGTGTGCAAACTGAATCGATTTCTGGTGCTACTCCTAGCGCGCGCTAATCAGATTCGAGCTTCAGGGATTGCGATTACCTCGTAATTTCAGAGTCGACCCCGTCGCAGTCAGGCCGCTGGTCTCGTCGGCATCGGGCTGCCGCCCGTCGGATTCAGGTCGCCGCCCACTTGAACCAGGAAGCCTCCTGCTGCAGCTGGGCCTCCGCTCTTCGAAATCGGCCCGCAGTGGACGCTGTAGAGGAGCTGCCGGAGCAATCGACCGCGACCTCACCTCGCCCGCCGCCGAGCTCCGCCGCAGGGGAGCTACATCCTTTCAGTGAAACCAGAGGAAGCAGATGGCGGCCAGCGAAAGCGTACCCACTCGGTTTACGCTTTGTAGTAGCGAAAACGTTTGCCTCACTAACACATTTACTCCCTTCATTCCAATGAATAAATCAAACTTGGACCATAAATTAGATTAACAGTATATATTTTGTGATGTCAAAAAGAATATTTTGTCACTTCAAAATTATACCACTGCAAACTTCTTTTCAATATGAATTCAATGGTATAACTTTTATCACATATATAATCCACATTTGGTTGGTCTGATTTATGATCAAAATTGAATTTTAGAGTGTGTGGGTGCCTTATTCATTGGAATGGAAGGAGTATCAACTTGAAATATCGTATTATTTATTTCCAGAGAAACTCGCATAGTATTATAATATCATATATTACCTGAATTTATTATAATTTTAAAATATATATTCTAAATCACCTCATCACTGCAACAAACTTAAAAATAAAGTGGTAGTGAAAATACATTTTAGGTAATAAGCACCACAAAAAAATCAAAAAATATACTTCTTTCTAATAAATAAAATACATTAGTTAAATGCATATGCCACGAGAGTAGTCATGAAACCATAAAGTTCGGACATCTAATTTGTTTCCATAATTATTTGGCTACTTTCAGATAATTGTTTAATATAGTATATGTAAAGTGAATAGGAAAAAAACACATTGTGCTAGGTGAAGGGATTCATTGGATCCCGCGCGAACAGATCGTGTAGCTTTAAGTTTTACGGCCCTAGTAGTTTATGTTTTGGATGTTTGATGTCATGGCTTCGACAAGGGTAACCACGGCGCCAGATATTAAAGCTTCAAAACCTTCTCCAACACGGCGTTCTGCTCGTTGGGGGGTGGTGGATCTAATTGCTAGTCTATTCAAGTGAGGATGGCGGCAATGGCAATCTATGATGGACTTGTGTCCTCGGGCTCCACCGCTTGGCTGGTGGTCCTTCGTGTAAAGTCTAGAGTTTTATTGTCTTTCCGATTTTGTCAGGTTGGCGTCTACATGGCTTGTAACTTAATCTTTATTATGTGAATGAGACATGTGTTAATGAAGTAAAAAGGTTTTTGGAAAATCGTGGAGTTTATTTACCATGTCCAGTCTCTCTCATCCATTTCTATTTTCATTTTTCTCTCTATTGCATATTCTATTGTCCTCCGTCCTCTCTGTATTTGTGGTGTTCGCAGGTACTCCCTCTGTTCACTAATACTTTCATAATTCTTGTCGTGGTTTTAGACTTTGGAATAGAGGAGTATAAGATGTTTTTAATATTTTAATATGGACTACATACAAACCGAAGCAAATGAACAAACACATTACAATGCATCATATACATCTGTTTATACATCGTAGGACGCCCAATGTGGTTCACTCCTGAACCGAAATGGGGTCCTCAGCCCGGCCCATCAGGCCGGGAGCCGACGTGGTGAGAGAACTCCTAGCCGGACACCATCAGATAACATGTTGGGCATTTTTCAAATTCGTGAAATATTTTCGAAATATGGGAAAATGTTTTGAAACTCAAACATTTTTCAAATTTGTGAATATTTTTTAAAATATGGGGAAAATTTATCCATGATTTTTTTTAATTTGGGAGTTTTTTTCAATTTCGTGCATTTTTTCAAATTCATGAACTATTCTTCAAATCTGGAACAACTTACAAACTTCAAACAGGTTTTGAATATACGGGAACATTTTCAAATATGTGAAAATTTTTGTAAATTATAAATATTTTTAAAATTCACAAAAATTGAAATTATGGAAAAATAATAAAATCCAATAATAAATTTTCAAACTCCTGAACATTTTTTCATATTCATGCAGGACTTAAATCCAGGAACATTTTAAAATTTGCGACCATTTTTTGAAATAAAAAACATAAGCATGAACTTTTTTTGAATCAAAGAAGATTTGTCAAATTCATGATCATTGTTTTTGAAGTTCAGAACTTTTTTGAAATCCCAAGTATTTTTTAAGAAACAAATAGAACACAAAAGCAAACACAACAGAAGAAAAAAATGATAAAAAAACAAGGGGCCCTGCCCCACATATGGGCTGGCCCAAAGGTAGCGCAAGAGAAGTTGAGCATAATTGGTTGGATGCCAAAAATTGGCATGCCAACATTTGGAAAATGCCAAATATTGGCTAGTGCTTGCTTGGCTACCATGTTTACTTGTCAATCTCATAAAAAGTTGTTAATTATTGACAACTTTTAGTATTACCAATTATTGGCTTGCCAAGTATATTGACAATGTCAAATGTTGGCATCAAAGCAATTATCCTTGTTGAATCTAGGTTGCACGTTTCCTCTCTATTCCGAAAAATTGGAGGTCCCACATGTGTTTCCTGAGACTCCCATGGGATCGATTTTGCTACCTACAAATAAAGGCCTAAAGGAGTTTCAAAGTTTTTTTATAAGTGAACCGGTCTGTAAGGGTTTGGTCGGGTCATTGGTCCCGCTTGACACTATTTTTTTTAACATGGTACCGACGCAAACACTCATATATACACGCATACACTCACCCTTATTAACACACACACGCACACCTTACCCCTCTAAGCACTCTGAGAGACTGATCCGACATATCATTTTGAGATTTTATGAAGTTACCGCAGGCGCCTCGTAGTTGACGGGAACATATTTTCCCACTGAACGTGCATCATCGAAAATCATGAAATAAATTTAGGATAAATACGAGCACCATGACTTGAACCCTGGTGGGCTGGACATACCACTATTCACCTAGTACCTAACCATCCAACCACAGATTGGTTCGCCCCGCTTGACACTATTAGAACCAACATTTCAATTAAAAACTTTCAAAGAAATTAAAGAAATTCAGCATACATTTTAAGAATTTCCAAAAAATGCTAAAAAAATTTAGAAACATTCGTGATTTAAATAATTTTTCTATCATTAAAATACTTCACAAATATGAAAAATATATTCATGATTTCAAAAAAATGTTCAAGAGTTTCATAATTATTCATGATTTTTAAAAAAATTCACAATTTGTTTTAAATAGCCGTAAATTTGAAAAAATGTTTGTAAATTTAAATAGTGATCAAAAATTTAAAACAGTTTGTTAATTTTAAAAATATTCACAAATAAGTTTTTCAATATTCACAGTTTTGAAGAAAAAATTTAGAAAAATATTCAAGAATTCTAATTGCGTTCCTGGTTTTTTAAAAGTAAGCCATAAGTTTGAAATATATTCATGAATAAAAATTTAAAAGTACATAAAATATAAAAGCGAACTAGAAAATAAAACATAAAGGCGCAATAGTAAAAAAGGGAAACAAAATTGAACTGAACGTTCCCAAAATCGAGAGGACCGGCGTAGGTGGCCAACCCAATAGTGTCCACGGGTGTCCAGTTTGCTAGACCACCTCCGCTGTACGCATGAAATGTGAATTGCCGTCGTAACCTTTGGGTGAGAAATAAATTAATTCCAAAACCAGAAAACAGCCTTTAATCTTTCTTCTAGGTGCAAACGGACCCGTTGGGCCTGGCCGTTTGGTCGACGTGCTGCTATCGGCTCGCCAACTTGCCAGATCCAGACAACCGCAAAAGACGGCAACAACACGCCCCTTTCTTTTCTTTTTTTTTGAGCTTCAAAGATTATTTATTAAATCAACCTTCCCCAGAGGGGATTTCGTCCGAAACTACAGGTAAAATAAAATCTGGGGGCATAAACTGCCACACCTAACATAAACTACAGGTAAAACAACACGCCCCTTTCTAGAACGGGAAAACAAACACGCGATGGACCGGATGGCAAGTTCGTTCGCCACTACTAGTACGACAGAAGAAAAACGGAAACCTTCCATCCTTGCCGCTATTAAATGTGTGTGGACTATTCAGGTATAGAACCAACTTAAGGGGTGTTTGGTTCAGAAGTCCTAGGACTTTTTCTAGTTTCAGGGACTAATCAAAAAAGACTCTTCAATAGAGTTTTTTTATATTCCCTGTAGAAAAAGTCCTTTATGTTTGATTTCTAGGGATTTTTTAGAAATTTTTTCTAGTCTCTGGGATAGTCCCTGAACCAAACACCCCCTCAGATCAAACGCTACATGCAAACACAAGTGAACTAAGACCACGAGATGGTCTTTCTTACGGACGCGGACTAGTCATGAGCTCATATGCTCCCTAGCTAATGTACAGTAAAATAAAAAGTAGTAAATAAATATAGTTCTTTTTTGGCTTAATCTTTGACAAATGTTCTCAGTGCTTGAATATTTTCATTCTGAAATAACATTCATGGAAGTCGTGATAAAAAAACAAAATTGACACCCAAA